GGCCCAGTGTGTGGCACAGAGCTGCCAGTGAGTGGGATAGGCATGGGGGGGAGGAATTTGGGTGGAGAGTAGGGTACAGGAGCAAGCTTGGGCTAGGTGTCTGGCCAGGAGGGAGGGGACAGGAACAGGGTGCTGGTGAGTTCCTGGCCAGGGGAGAGGATCTTCAGGGACTGTCACGTTAATGGATTTTAAAGGGAGAAGCCAGATCACTGCTGCACCCATGGGGGGTGGGGGTGTTTGCCCCAAAGTATGTACAAAGGGGGGCATGTGAGGTGTCAAATGAAAGTTTATGTTCTACTGATTCTGCATATGCTATTCATGAACATGTATGATATCTGTATGTGGAGTTATAAATACATACTTTGTGCTTATGCTGCAAGATTATCTGTCTGGCAGTGTGTCTTTCCCTCCTCCCCCACCGGAGGAAGCTGTCTTTGGCTCCAATTTTGCGAGTGGCAGAAGTGTCCGTGCAGGCTCCTTGTTGCGGGTGGAAGGGAGCAAAGGGTGCGCAGGGGGGACGACACTGCAACAAGATCAACTGGCAGTGCCTTTGCGATCGACTGGTTGGTGACCGCTGCTCTAGCTCTATGCTTGTCTCTCTGCTTGTGGCTTCTAAGCCTCTGCAGGCGCCTGCCCTCTGCAGGCTGGCACTAGCTTAAGTCGGCTTTTGGCACAGTCTACACAGCAGGAAGTCGAAGAAAGAAAACTCTTCCTTTGACTTCCCTTACTCCTCATGAAATGAGGGTTACAGGAGTCGGAGTAAGAAGTCCTCCAGCTCGACATTCTTTTAAAATAAAGGCTGGCAGTGTAGACATGCACTATTATTTCGGAATAATGTCAGTTATTCTGAAATAACGCTGCTGTGCAGACATCGCCCAAGGGGTCACCGGGAACCAAAGCACGCTAGGGTGGAACTGTAGGGGAGCATGGATGGAAAAGTTCACCCCTGGTTTTTCAAGGCCAAGGGCGGCTAGACTACAGTCCCGCATCTGACCAGGCCGAAGGTACCAGGCCAGGGCTCTACTCCCTGCAACAGCAGAACAGAATGAGAAACAACTTTACATAGCAGCTTTGTGCAACTAAAAATTATACCAGTGAAAAGCAAGGGGTCGGAGCTTTTATTAGAAGAATGTTAAGAAACCTGCAGGCTCGGTTCTGATCTGTTAAGTGCCAGAATAAATCCACGGTGGAGTTAGGAGGTAGACTGCTGCCAAACACACTTCAGGGTTTAATACAAAACATTTTAGAAAACCCCAAATATGAAAAGTTTATTATTAAAAAAAAAAAATAATCAGCCCAATGTCTAAGAAATTCATTGTCCTTCTGCATTTAAGCCACACTTGTAATCTGGAAACCCCAAATTCTCCTCTGGGGGAATTCTGCCCTAAAATAATTCAAAATGACGCACACAGTATTTTAAAATTCTATACAATTCTGCATGCTTTATTTGTTAACACAACAATATAATCAGGCCAGTTTCGATTACTTTGGAAATGTTATTTCAAAATCCCTTTCAGCAAATGTGTGTAAGGACACACAAAAATAATTCCCTTAGGAGTTGAATATTCAACACCCCACCACACCCATGGACACTCCTTGCAGGGTCAGGTCTAAGACACACAGTGGCAGGAGTGATGGGGAGGAAGGCGGAGTTTAGTCAGCAGAGTGTGCATTAGCTGAGTGGCATCTGTCCCCGGTCCCTCCCCAGAGAGAGGTGAGGGGGCTCCCTGCTTCTTTGAGGGCAAATGGACCTCAGGACCCACTTAGCTGCTTTTAGCCCCCTCTTCAGCTCTCTTCCACTCCCCATCCTTGCCAGAGACTGTGCCCCCTCAGCTCTCCTCCCACATTCCCTTCCCCCTAGGGATTAACTCCTTTCCCATGCCACTGGCCCCGGCTCCAACACCCCACTCTGCACTGGTAGCCCAGCGCACCCCGTGTCTCCCCCTCCCACCCTGCCCCAGCCTCAAAGGCCTAGTGCAGCAGAGGATACTGACTGCAGGAACCAGAGCCGGTGGACTCCGGCTCCTGGAGGACTCCTGCCTGTGTGGCACACCAGGGAAGAGCTCTTCCTGGGGCTGGGGGTGTGCTGCAAGCACATCTCTGGTGTAAAATTCAGGGAGATGGGTGCCCCAGCAGAGCTGCTTGTATTAGCCCCACATCTCTGCAGTAGGGACAAGAGATGCACATGGGGACTGAACAGAGGTGGGGAGGATCACCCTGCAGCCTTCCCCCCGAACCCTGACACAATGCAAGGGCCAAGCCTGCCCCATAAATACCCCAGTGGTCTGCCCTCCCGCACTGGGTACATCACAATAGTGAGTAACACGGGCACAGTGTTACAACCCCTCCTGCCGCTTCCATTTCAGAATTGATTCTTCTGCAGGGAAATAAATAAATACAAATCCGTGGAGAACAGGAATCATGCTCAGTGGTGCAGAATCCCCCTGGAGTGAAAAGCTTCCTGGAGCAAATAGAGAATGGGGAAAGACAGGAGACAAAGCCAATTAGGAATGGAAAGCGAAACTGAGCAGGCCAGTTACAAAGAGAGGGAAACAAACCAATTCAGTTCTTGGACCGGATTCTCCTTTGGATTTGATTTCAATGCCAGAGAGAATTCTGCTAGTCACAGGCATTAAGTGAGCCAGAGGGCAACTTCCCTCTCGCTTCATGGTGCTGGGGAGAGATGTTTCCAAGAAAGAAGACAGAGGCAAAGTCACTGTGATGGTAGGAGAACGTTCCCACCCGGGCTTGTTTGAATCGGATAGCATGTCTCTGAAACGGTTACGGTTTCAGAAAAATAAACAATACACCCTCCAATCCTGCTCATTCACCTGTGTTGGGGGGAGTTTTAATTTGAGAAACAGAGGAAGATTCTGAGGCTCCTCAGCTTCATTAGTGTAACAATCTCAGGCCTCCTTGACCCCTCCGGATATCAAAGGGGAGTGGAGGCGGCTTAGGCCCTGGCATGGGAGACTTCAGCAAGCAGATCCTGAGCTGGGTGAGAAAGTTTCAATGGGCTAATGTGTTCTGAACGTGTGCGGGCCAAGCCGCCAGGCGGTATAGGTTAGTGTAGCAACAGTGAGTTCAGCCATGGTCTCAAGGGGCCGATCTAGGATAGGTGAAGGGGAAAGGAGTAAGACCAGAGGAGTCAGATGAGAATGAAGATGGAGGAGAGACCATCCACCCACCCAGGGAATGCAGAGGCCACGAGACAGGCTGTGGACCAAATGCGAGTCTGTAAAGGTTTCGCCAGCTGACACAGCACAGTCCAGAAACAATTCAAATCTCCTTCAGACCATGCTGGCTGCAGAGCAGGAGCACCAACTGTTCCACACCGCAGCCTACGGCCCGCCCTGGGCAGGGACCTTGCCGGTGATCTTGTTTGAGCACTCCAGCAGGGCATTGTGGATGTCCTTGGCGCAGGAGATCTGGGATTTGATCATGCTCAGGTACTGGGTGTAAGGCAGGCTCTCGGTCTGTACCGCATCGGGTTTGGTGGCCGTTGGCACGAGGTTGGGAGAATGCTTGGTGCTGTCGAAGCTCTGGGACAGGCACTCATAGGCAAGCCGCTGGAGGGGGAGAGAACCCATTAACACATGGAGTACAGTTCTTGGCCCTCCCTTGGCCTCTGGCCTTTATCAGGGCAATCTTTGTTCTAGCCTCTAATTGTCCCTGGCCAGGTCAAGGTCTCAGGCCCTCTCCCCTCTTTCAATTCACTCTCTTGCCTGCCCGCACTGTACATCTGTGCTCATTTGTTCAAGCCCCACTGCTCCCACCCCTCCCTTCTGCCCTCTCATCACCCCACTCCCTTTGCATAGCACAGGGGCGGCCATAAGTGGCATGAACGGCAGGAGCTCAGCCCACCTCCCACACAGCAGGGAGCCCGTGCTGCCTCAGGAGCCTCAGGGCACAGCACCAGCTCCAGGGGGCAGGCAGGGAGGCTGCAGATGGGGCTGCACACAAGCAGC